CGTCGCTGCGCAACTGTCTAACCTCTTCTTGAAGCTGCCAACAGACGGAGCAGTAGCAATCTTGGCAGGCGATGCATTCCAGTGGCCGCAAACTCGCAGAGAGAAGTATGATTGCACACGGGTATTCTCTCTTTGGTGGGCGATTCTCTTTCGGTTACCATAAAGGTCACAATAGTGGCCGTTCGGTGGGATTCCACTGTTCGGACGACTTGGGTCGCTGAGTATCTTGTAAGCCGTTATCAAGTCACCACGTAATCTACGGTAGCTTAGGGAGTAGGGCCCCAGATCTTTCAGCCTGTCCTGATATGGTTCTTGCCTCATTCCCAAGACACCCTATGTGGCTTTCCTTTGGACTTTCTCCAGGAGGTTCACGTCTCTATGGTGGTGCAATGACTCACTGTACCTCTAGATGGGGTCTTATATAGGTCTATTGCAGCTTCAAAAAGAGTTCCAAGGTCAGGGAACCCAACTGTCTGCGAATGAAGCGTAGTGCTGCGTAGGCTTTGGAGGCATCTCCTGGATAATTGGGGCTAGTGTCTAGTTTGTCGGTTAGTATTAGTCCTAGGTCTTTCTCTGTGATGCTGTGGGAGAGTTGTGTTCCACAGAGAGAACAGGATGCCTTCTGAGAGTCTGGCGTGCGGAGAAACATGGCTTGGCATTTATCAAGGTTAAATGCAAGCCCAGTAATGTCCACCCACTCTGCAAGTAATCTGAGATCACTTTGCAGTGCACTTGATTCTGTTCCTGACGCCACAGCTCTCTATAGCTTAACCTCATCTGCATACAGAAGAATTGGGGAGCTGAGATTCGGTGGGAGGTCGTCCACAAAAAGAAGGAATAGCAGCGGACTCAGAATCGCCCCTTATGATACACCAGATGATGATGTTCCCCAAGTCGAGCAAACTCTGTTGGCTTTCGTGCAGAACTGTCTACCATCTAGGCAGTCCTGCAACGATGAAAGCACTTGTCCCTTGATGTTCAACCTTTCTATTTCGTGAATAAAAACGTTGTGTGGAGCTGCGTCGAAGGTCTTAGTAGAATCCAGGAAAATAACATGGACAGGAATTTGGGGTCCCAGCATGCCGTCCACCTATCACCTGCCGCCAGAATGTTTGTGGCACAAGACCTACTGTTTCTGAAACCATGATGTGCATCACTAAGTGCTCCCCTCTTTTCCAAGTACTCCCTGAGATGGTAGCCTACCAGACTCTCCATTAATTTTGACATCACTGGCAGAAGGGCTATGGGTCGGTAGCATTTTTGGTTCCGCCTGTCTCCACCTTCGAAGCTGGGGGACAGAATGGCACTTTTCCACTCTTGTGGAGGCATGTGATTGTCTAGGAAGTGTTGAAACAAGTTATACAGCGGACAGCACAAGGCACCTGCGCATTGTTTCACTACAACCGGTGGGATGTCATCACACCCTAGTGATTCCCCCGCGCGGAGCTCTGACAGCTTTCGAGGATCATAGCAAGAGTTACCTTTATTCCAGGTAACTCTACTGCGTTTGGTGGTGCTGGAGTTCGGTTGGACAGTTGGTAATTTTGGTTCAATAGGGACATAGTGAGTTGCGTTTCGAAAGGTGACGCTAAAGGCTTCGGCGATCTCTTGTCCGGAGAGGTTCTCTCTGTCTAGGCCTTTCAGGACGCAAGCCCCCTGGCTGGTGGATTTTCTGCCTGCCATAAACCGATATAGGTTTTTGGGATTTGCCTCGAGCTTTTGCGCAAGGTTAGTCCAAAATGGCTTCCTGTCTCCCCTCACTCCAATGTTACATCGATTTCTTAGGGCAATATACACGGTGTGGTCAGACTCTTTTCTGGAGGTTCTCCACTTGTGACGTGCTTTCCTCTTGGCTTTCAAAAGGCGTTCACTGCCTCACTTCAGCCATAAGGTTCGCTTCCACGGTATTGCTGTGATTACTGGGACGTTTTCAGAGACAGCCTACTCGATGATATCTCTGACTAGTTCCCAATGTTAATCATTCGACAGGTTACTCCGCTCCTGAAGCCGTGGTGCTACCGACAGATATTGGTTCATCGCCACGTAGTTCGCCTTGTTGTAGCAAAAACAGGGGCGCGATCCCTCCCATGACAGTTGTTCAGAGAGTGCCAGATTGAACACTACCACGCCGTGATCGCTGCTGCCGAGGGGGGTTTGAACTTGTACATTTCCTACCGGCAGTGGGTCACTGGTAAAAAGGTGGTCCAGCTTGAACGACTTTCCGCCTGACCCCCAGCGAGTGTCATCACCAATATTCTCGTGCAGCCCAGCCTTTTTGATAGTGTCGAGTAGGTTTCGGTCAAACCTTCGGCTTGAGGTTCCCTTATCCTGCCCAAGACTGAGATCGGAGCATTAGAGTCGCCAGCTATAATGACCTGGTCATATCCGATAGACATTACTTGCAGCAGTTGCCGGTTATCTTCCACGCCGGTAGTAGTTGTTCTGTAGACGCCTCCTACCAGGTACTTGGTGTGTCCAACCTTAAACTGACACCAGATGGAGTCTGGGGGCCCTGAAAGTAGAGTTTCAGTCGCTCGTTCACTTTTAAAGTTATCACCTATAAGTATCACTACTCCGCCTCCTCCTTAAACTCCCCGTCTCTCCTGAACAGACGCATTCCGCCCACATTAGTTTCGACGTCGCTAGTGTCCAAAAATAACCAAGCTTCTGTCAGAATTATGATCGCTGGATGTTTCTAACAACATGGAGTATCTTGGTGCCGGCAGACTAGAAGGAGTCGTGCGTGGTGGCGAAACTTGCTATAGGACGGCCAGCTCCAGTGGAACCGGCCCAATCACGTTTTTTCCCACAATGGTTTCTGGGGGTTTAACAGAGTTCAGGCTTGGTTGTGCATCTTGTCTGTTGACAGTGATGGTGACTTCAGCGGCGGGCGGTGCTGTCATTTGCTGTTGTCGCAGCGTCCTGGGTCTGCTTTCACAGCAGCGAACATTCCCACTGATGTTATCTTTTACTGTGTACCAAGTTTGCAGTACACTGGTTAAAAGTTCTTGACAGCCGAAGTTAACAGCCGCCAACCGGGGTGCCATTATCGTCGTCAAATGTGAGGGACGTGGCAGTCTGCAGACCGCCGCCGCTGTTATCCCATTTAACCCCATCCTAGCTGACAACCACTGCCATTGCTGGACTTCGTGAGCACACTTTTCTACGACTGTGCAGATTGTCAGTTCCGGCATGCCGTGGGCAACCATATTTGTTGGTTTCAGCGTTTGTAGCGCCTCACGAGATATGTTTCTTGCTGACCAAGGGCGGTCTGGTCTGGCTCTAATGCTGGATGACCTGTTGATGACTAGTATGTGTGGCACTAGCAAAAATCTTTCCCCTTCTTTAGCCGAGCTTATGGTAACTCTCATCGACGGAGGCTTTCCCTGAGGTGGGTAGTTGCCTTTGTAGGGCCTGCGCAGCTTTGCTTCTAGGCTACTTAGTCCTAGTGTGTTGCATACGGTTTCCATTGCCGCTTGCCAAACGATTCTCTGTTCTCAAGGAAACTATCATGGCACACAGGAAAGTCAAATAAGATGATGGAATTCGACCTGTCATCAGCTTCTCTATTTTCTTTCACTGTGGGTGGTTTTCTGTGTGAAGGATGTACCTTCTTTTCCACTATCACCCATTTATCCCATTGTACGGTGGGGTCAGCCTTTAAAGTAGCCTCAGGGTTAGAGACCAATGTAGTTGGTCGCGTACCCGATCGTCGTTTTAATCTTTTTGGGCTATTCACCGGTGTGACTGGCCGCCGGTCAGTGCTGGCACCCTTGCTGCTTGGGCCTGAGGTAGTGGTCTATGTGGGTGCCGGCATCACAGTAGTCACTGCGATGTCTTTTACGAGCTCCGTCGGCGAGCCTTTAGAAGAGGGTGGCCTTATACAGCACTGTGGGCAGATGTACCAAAACCACGCTCATGGGTAGCACGCCATGAAAGTGTAATATTGGTCTAGTATGTCCTCATCACACTCACTGTGCACCCACTTACTGCAGATGTTACACTCAAGGGCAGCATTCCTCTTGGCTACGGTCAGACCACATGTATGACAGTCGTCAGCCTGACTAGAAGGTTTAATTAATGACTTTCTTTTCCTTCTCTTCCGTCTCTCAGTGGTAGCCTTCTCAGGTAGACTAGGGTTTGAGCTGGTGGTACCAGAAAGACATGCTCGTTGATAAACCACAGCACAAGGGTTCACAGGGACAGGAATTCGACTTTTCCCGGTAGGTGGTTGTTGCAACTGTCCTCCTAAGGTCGACCCGTGATCTTTTGAGGCGGCACTAAGCTTTTTGCCTCCGGCCCTCATTACTGTCACTGATGGAAAGGTTTGTGGCTTGGATGAGGCTTTGCCTGAGATGTTCCTGACGCCAGATTCGGTTGGGACTCGATTATTACTCATTTCTGCTGGCAATTAGGGGGGATTTAAATGAGATAGACAGATGGTTGTATCAAGCGAAACGTAGAAAACCAATGATAGGTAAAGTAAGTTGTTAACCTCACTTAGGATTGCCCAGCTGTACTACACAGAAGGATGCCCAAGGCTTCCCACAGGTCCAAAGTATATGATCGAATGAGATAAGCAGCGCTGCGGTTGCAGCAACCTGAGCTATAGCAGTTGACCGAGGCAGTTAGACCTACCACACAGTTGTCCGTTTGGAGAGTGATAGTATTGACAGACTGAGAGCTGCACGTTCTGTAGCAAAAAGTTTTTCCCGTGAAGCTGTAACTTTCGCAGAGGAAATATCCAATTGGGGAGGCCTATATATAGTTATTTCCAAGTAGAATACAAACGAGACAAAACACGTCAGTATTCAAAGAGCACCGCAAACGAAGCTTATAAAAGTAGACAATTAACAAAAGAAACTGAAATACTGAGATCCATGGAGTTGAAAACTATGCACTTGCTTTCTTGAAAGGTTTCGTTTTTATATTGAAAGCTTGTAGTAGATACTTTTTATTTGCACCAGCACTTAAGGAAAGGTCAAGCAAAGAAGCCCCGCACTGTTTGGATGAGATGGGAACACGCCCTTGTTTCATCAGTCATATTATATTAAGAACGTTTTTCATTTACATTTGGAAATATGTCATTACAGTGCATGGATTTAATATAGACTTCAAATCTCCTTTATTCAAAACTGGGAGAGAGGATTCGAACTTTGGATTCTCAGTACTAGGATATTCTCACTTTTCGGGACAGAAAGGGTAAGTAACTTTAACCCCTGATTCCGTTTCTATTAAAGTGTTGTAATTGGATCACCAAAAGAGGGAAATAATGGTGGGCTATTTTGGTGTCCACTTCTTAAAAGCACATGCAGTCGAGTTGATGTTAATTTGGAACGAGAAACTCATATGCAACCTGGCTTAAATGGGGCTCTCTTTGGATATTCAATGGCTTCAGCCTTTGTAAATAGCCGTGGACCTATTGCGGTAAGTAAACTACTGATTTGTTGTTCGCCAAGTTTTATCTACGCTATGTAAATCTCCAGGCAGTTTGCTTTCGTTATTATCTATGTGCAAAGTTTGTAAATGTGAAACAAATGTTCATTTATTACATATGATCACCATACATGGTGGCTTGTTATTTTCATCCAAATATTACTGTATCATGACCGTTTTTCTAGTTTGGGTGACATTTCCATTTATATAGGGCTAGGGTGGAGTATGCATACCAAATGAAACATAAAAAACTCCCCCAAAATAGTAGTTTGCTGTCGTGTTAGGTCTCCTCGTTTGTAGTTTGGTGAAACACTTCTGCAGGAGAACACTATTATATTGTGCTTACCACCTGATTTACGTGGCTGACCCCACCAGCTACCTGTTAAGATTCAGAAGATTGAAATTAAAGGCTGTTATTTAGATAGGAAGTAAGAAATACAAAATGTTATCCACATAGTTTGTCTCTTATGGTCCTGAAAGTGTGGGTTGACTCCATGAATTTCATCAGTGCCTCGTTTCTGGATATTTTATAGAATACATTTGATTTACCATTGGGTGCATTAAGTCTAGTATAATGAGTGATCGTCAGAAATTAAATTGAAATAATCTACAAATTCTGAAAACAGGTAGTACAACTAGATTGAAGCCCTCTAAGATAGTTTATAACAAGTATTGGTTCGAAGAGGGCTTTTTCCGTCTCTACTAGTTATTCCTACGGTCTGTTTTTGAAGGGCTTTTGATTTTAAGAACATCTTCACGTATCTGATTATTTAAAATTTTTGTGTTATTGGCAAATGCTGAATTTTTTTTACTTCCTTGATCCAAATCTGTCTACGCTATTCCTCCATATGTTACTCATTGTTGTTTTACGTCGGTGTTGATTTCTGAAGGACTGAAAATACACTAAGCACAGTAGCATAGAAACTTGTCTTAAGAGAATTAACCCCATTTGTATTACTACATTTTGTCGTGAATGTTTCAAAAACATCATTTTGTATAACTCGAGCATACCAGGTTTTAACACACTTTATAACTGTAAGTTATCTGTTGAAGTGAATACCAGTGTACCTCATTTTTAATTGGATAAAACTGTCTAACTCATGATGGCAGATGTATCGAACTGACTTTCACAAAGTTACTATCTCGACAGTTTTATGCTATTCCAAAGTCGGGTCCCATATTTGCCAAGTGGTTGCCTGGAACAAATATTTCGTTTATCTGAATCATTAAACCTCCATTGAGGTGCTACCTTTCGCTAAGCAAATGTACGTTGTTAACATCTCATGTTTTCCCTTAGAGTACCATAGTAAGGTGTACATTACGCATGCGTTATTGTCATGTTATATTACATATTAATAGTTTTCAAAACTATCACCGAATTCGTGGACTATCACGTATAATGAAGCTACTGGAATCTTAATAGTGTTACGGAAAAAACATTTTCAGTTTCCGCCCATCGTCAATCTGTAAAATACCACTATGTTGTTTTACTTGTCCAGACTACATTTCAAGGTAATTTACAATATCCTTGTTAAAAAAAGATTGTTGCATGCTGCTTTTTTAAATGACTACATACTCACTTCATCGATTCAAGGTGCTTTAATCAGTGTGCATTAGTACATATGTCCTACTTTCCTGAGTCTTCCCAACTATCTCTGTATTAAGGGTTCAAGTGAACTTCTGCTAATTCTTCATTTTTGAATACACCTTGCAAGCTGACACTAATGATTAAGTAAAGACGTTAAATCTGAAACTGTTATCTACATTATCGTATAATTTCATTATATGTTTTCGCTGACAAACTGTTTTTGAGTGCATTCATCGTCTGCTAAACATGAAACTTACACGAGTAAACATCTGAATCATACTTTTATTTTTTTTTGAAGACAATATCTAGTTCAGCATGAAAAATGGGATTCTGATTTGCTTCCTAACCAATAGTAGTAATGCAACTCAGAAGCGCTTTGCACGTTTGTGCAGTAGACTAAAATTGACACATGTGGTGTAACTATCCTAATGTTAGTAGTTGGGGTCGAATTTGAACTTGTAACCGTTAGGTTTACGGTCATATTCTTGAGTCAATGAGTGACAGTTGTACAGCTTAAAACTACCCTGAGTTACATGGCTTTTGATCAAAGAGTGTCTTTGTTAAAACACAACTTTCTTACATTGCCTCATATTAGGTTTAAAGTGACGTATTATCAAAGCATTCTAGACTTAAGTTTCTTAGGAGACCGATCAACTAGTTTTTTTCAACCTTCAGTGTTTATACATAGAGTTCTACGGGCCATTCGAAAAGTTCTTGCATGTTATATTTATTTGTGACCTTTTGTTATACAAACTACGCTTATAAACTACTAGATGTCTAAGTGAATTTGTGCTCTTAGAAACTGCTCGTGTTTAGTTCTAGACTATTAAACCTTTTGTAATTATTTTCGATCAGCTGATATATCTTTTCCTCACTTTCTTTATTACACTTGGTGTGTTCGGTTGACTCTTTTCTAGAGTACATAAAATAATACATATGAAGAGTTTTCCTATGTTGTGGCAATGTGATAACAAAATAAAGCTTCCTATTAATTGTGCTGTTCTTTACCACAGCTAACTTGAAGGTATTGACCACAAAAAGCTCCTAATATACTAGTTCTTGAGAGATAAAAGCAATACAGAATATGATCACTAGTGTTCCTAAATATTACTCATCTTTCCACACAATGAAAGTTACATGACATCTTGCATATGCTAATATCATTTATTTTCTTTCAAACAAACGAGATGCAGTAAAGTTTGTAAACTTCAGTAGAAACTATTAGCTGAATACTTCACATACCTTACTGTATATTCCATGATCTGATACAAGACAGTATACATACACAAAATAAACTGAAACATAGAACTAACTCTAACAAAAAACCTGAACGGTTACGACAGGCCATTTATGAATGTGATAAGTTATAAGCGGATAGAATAAACACTGGTGATTTCACCATGAATGGAATGAATAGCAGTCGAAAAGAACCTAAAATATCTTATGCATAATGAGAATTAAAATAGTAGTAACATTGTTGGTGATAATAATCCATAGTTTGCTAAGCAGCAAGCAAAGGAGGGAAATCAAAACAACAAATTAGAAGGGAGAATTGAAAGGGAATTTATATAAGTGCAAGTAGATGCCTTCATAGTACGTTATAATTACTATTATAATGAGTTAAAATTAATCATATTTACCTTCATTTCACAACGACTTATTGGTTGTGGAGTTGAGGCTTATCGGGTTGGGCAGTGGACTTTCAAGCGGTGGGTCGCAGTTTCGAACACTACTCCACTTACAGAGGTTTTGGCAACCTGGTAGAATCATTAGCCTTCAAAAAACGGGTGTGGCTAATTCCCTATCTCACAAATGTGTACAAGGTTGCTCAGTGGATTCATTCCACATTAGTTTGATTAAGAAGCTCAATTCACCCAGACATCTAAAACTCTAGGTATCTTTCTGTTCCATTGTCTTTTGATCATCATATCTTGATTATTTTAACATTTAATGCTTTTCAATGTTATTTTACTGAGTCTTCCTGGGAATTCCAACTTTAACAAAACATTTTCAGTTTATCCCAATCAACTTGTTTCATTCACATTATCTGATCCTTTGATTATTCATTAACTCTACCACATTTTCATCCCTTTGTAATCTATATTCACCTTATCAATGTATGCGACCCAACCATACGGGAGGTAAATCGCGGCCCAAATAACTCAACGGTCACGTCACCGACTACAGTACTGGTTAACATGGGTATGAATCTAAGGAAGGACATTGATTCTGTCGAGGTTACAGATACGCCTTACTGATGAGTACCAACAAACACGAAACATGTGCCCAGGGCTTCCTACCAATTGCCTCCAACTGATCAACTATTCAAAAGATCTTACGTAACCTCCTTTTTTTGTTATCATTCAACCCTTATGTCATCAGGTAGCAACATTATTATAATTATAATCACCACTATTGTTATTTCAATCTCTCATTATTTACGTTTAATCTTTCTCACTGACTTCAGTCTTTATATATACGAATGCACAGGTTGAGAATAAATCCGTTGTAAAAAGTCCTCTTCGCTGAATGTCTTGTTTTTGATGTCACAATTGGAATGATGAAATTATTTAGAAAATGCAAGAGTCGATTGACAATTAAAAGGTTTCTATGTTACTCCATCAAACTTGCTTTGATAAAAAGTAACAATCTAAATGAAGAATATTCTTTTCAATTTGGGGGTTTGTGAAGATTTAGAGATTTTTCAAGTTAGTATTCATCGTTACATTGAATAGAGGTTACGCTTTATTGTGAACTGACAGAAGTAGGAAATATAAACCATTGTATTCCGACCCAGTCACTCAGTAGTAACGTGCTGGCCACGAAACTTGAATGTCTCCAGTTCGACTCCTGGTAGGGTCGTGAAAACGCACTGCTGAGGAGTCCCATTTTTCCAATGTTCCTCTAATTGATATCAGTCCATGATGAATGCCAACTTTAAAAATATTCTTTTCAATTAATCAGGCTAATTGTCTTACATATTGTATATTTCATTCTGTAGGATAATAAGTTTTCTCATATGAGTTGACTGAGCATTCCTGATGAATCATTTATCACCTGTGTATGCTAAATAATCAACAACCATCAATAAAAAACATGTACTGTTAGAACTTTATTTGTCTGGAACTCATGAATTCTTAAGTGCATTTTTATGTTTTTCACTTTATTCATTAATATATTTATCTATTTAATAAGGTAACTTGATTTTTTACAAGTTAATTTAAAACACCATAAGAGGCAAGAATGTTTAACTGGAGATTAAAGTTGTAAGTGTCCAAAGTTCAGAATTATATGATTTTTGTTAATTAAAGTAAAATGAACAGTTCTAAGTGTGAATAGACAGCAAGACCAACTTTACACAAAGCTTTTACTCTAGGTCTATGATTGTTTGCTTAAGGAATAC